GGTGGGGGGGTATATCAAGAGGCTGGCTTGGGACAAGCCCCAAGGCATCTTGAGGGATAGAACAGCTGGGATCTGAGGTTCTGGACACAGCCTGAAGGTGGGACCAGCAGGTGGCTCCATCCCATCAGTCAAGGTCACCCTCCACTTCAGGGCAGCTGTCTCTGGCTGACCCTGACCCTTGCTGGTGTGCTGGGGATCCTGGGACAAGCTGGACAGCAACTTCGTACAGGAGCTCCAGGATGTGCTGGGATGGGCATGTAGGGTAGTTGAGGTGGGCTGGGGCCAGGGGACTCCAACAGCTGATCCAGAGCCCATGTCTGGTACCTCACTCTGAGGGGCTGGGGGGGGCAAGGAAAGGCCTGACTATGTGGCAACAAGGGAATACAGGTGATGACCTTGGCCAGCTGCTGGGACGCAGGGACGCCGAAGGATCAAAGGGCCGATCCCTGCCTGGCTATGGTCTCACCCGCCTGTCCGGCGGTGCCTCTGAAGTTCTGGGCAGGGCAGCCTGGGCACCTGTCCCGCACCTGTTGTTAGGCCACTCGGAGTCCCCTGCCTGTCCACCCAGCCATAGTGACAACAGGAAAGTAAACACTTTCCCACCCCCAGGCCTGGGAAGTGGCCAGAGAGGAAGTGGGGCTGCCAACAGAGCCCCCCCAGGCTGGGACAGCCCGCCAGGGGTTATTTATACCCTGGCTAGGGGCATGGCCTTGGTTGTGCCCTCACCCGTACTGTTGGGCTAGGGGGCACTTTAGGGTCAACGGAGGGAAGAGGGGCAGAGGCTCAAGTGGGCACCTTCAGACACAGGCACTTGGGGTGGGGAGAAGCTTCAGACATCTAGACCTCAGGGACCCAATCAGCCATAATCCATGCCCTCCATCCCTGCCCAGCCTTGAGCACCTATAAGCCAGACAACTCCCCCTCTGCTGTGCCACGACTTCCAGGGCCCAAGCCCCAAGTCCACACTGCCCACCTGCTCCCAAAGCCCCAGTATTCCCAGGCTCTAACTCCCTCTGTGAGAATGGCAGGGTGAGATCACTCAGCAGATGAGGAAACTGAGTCCCAGATGGAGGGGTAGGAGAGTAGCCTTGACCAGACATCCTGCCTCTCAACCCTCTGCACCCCCTATCCCCAGTCTGTCCCTGGGCAGAGGTGGGGGTGAAGGGAGCCTCTTAGTCAGTCATCAAGCATCTATGTACAGAGCCCTGTGCTCACAACATCCAATTTACATTGAGACACAGGGAGGGGAAGTGACATGCCACAGTGCATGGGGGGCAGGATTTCCACTCGAGTCCATGGCTGAAGGAGGGGGAGGCCATGGGGAAGTCAGTCCTGGTGGTGGAGAATGCCTGCCAGGAGGGCCTGGGCCGGAAGGTGACTCGCCCTCCATCGAAAAGGCACATGACTCAGGACCCTAGGGACCCCTCCCAGTAACCACGGGATATGGCGTCAATGGCTTTGGTGTCACAGGATGTGATGCTCCAGTTACCGTGGAAACTGGCGAGGAGGGGAGCCCCCAGGAGGCCATGTTGGGTGGTGAAGAGGTGGCATTAGTGGGTGGGGGACTGATGTGGACCCATCCTCATCATGTCCTCAGGCCAGTCCACATCTCTGCCTCACTTGTCCCAGGCCCAGCTCTGATGGTAGGAGTGTTACCCCTCCCTCATTGCCAAGGTAATATTGAGGGAGGGGCTTGGGTACAAACAAGGGTTCTGTGGGTGTTAGGACTTAAGCATGGATAAGCTTTGACCTTGGCAGAAGGGAGGGTAGTGTGCCTGGGTGATGTTTCCTGCAAAGGCCTCCCCACCCCCATACTCTCACCCCAGCTGGGCACAGGTTGGGTGGGGCAACATCCGGGAAGGATTTTCCCATCATCAGGAAGGAAGAACCTTTTCTGGCGTCAGACACCTCATTTCCGCAGCCATTCCCAGCCTCTAGGACTCTTCATGGCCATCAGATACTTGGGGTCCTGGCCCAGAATGGCCTGGCAAAGGTCCAGAGGCAGGAACATTTTCAGTACATAGGGGGCCTAATACTGGGGTCTCCATTTCCTCATCTCTGGGAAGCTGCTGATGATGCCTTACATTAAAGGACGTGGAGGGCGAGGACAGGCACTGAGGCGTGTCCACAACTCTCACCCAAAGACCCCAAGTGGGTGGCCCCCACCTCTTGCTGCCCGTCTCCAGGACACAAGATCTGCTGCCAGTAAGGCAGGGGCTACCGCAAAAAGAGGGGTCTTAGAGCAGAGGTGGGCACTCCACCCCCTTGGTTACAGCCCCACAAAGCAATGGCCCTGACTGACAGCGTCACCACCCCCAGCAGTGTTGGGTACTGGGGGTGATAGACAGGTCTCTGCAGCCTAGCTCTGACCTCTGACCTTGTGTAGGCTAGTGCAGCCCTAATCCCTGAGCTGAAGAGAAATGGGATTGGGGGTGAAGGGGGGTGCTGGCCTGGGTCTTTTTCAGTGCTTCATCACCAGAAAGACAGACCTCCTGACCTTATGAGGAGGGAAACTGAGGTAGACAAGAATATGGTAGCAGTGGCAGCGACAGGAGTAGCCAGGACCAGGCAGTCCCTACTGGACAGCCCCTTAGACTCTAGGGAGAGGTGACCCCAGGCTCTTTTTCACTCCCCCAAAGCTGTGAGGGGCCCCAGAGGAAGACCGGGGGCTGGGCTGGCCCTCTGGCTCCTGGCCTAATCCTTTTTTAATGAGCGGCCAGCCGGAAGGCCTCAGCCCCTGGCCACATCCCTGCAACCCTGAGAGCCCCAGCCAGGCCAAGCTGGGGGCAGGGCAATCCAGAAGCCTTCACATGCACCTTCCCCCTGCTCAGCACACCCACTCACTCATACCCCCATGCCAAGACCTCAACCACTGACCAAGCCAAGCCAGGGACCAGCATCTGCAGGGATATCCCACAGCGACACCTGCTTTGTGCTTCATGGGCCCTCTCCTGGGCACTTACCATTTGTTCAAGCCCAGACCTCACATAGCGCTGGGCAGGGGAGGCTGCCACTGCAGATCTGGGGTTAGCTCTCCAGTCTCTCCCCCACACCCGATGTTCTTGATTGGAATCCCTAAAAGCCAGACCTTAGCTGCCCCCTCCCTGTCTACCGCCCAGGTAGGCTACAGGTTCCTCTGGTCTTAAGACCCTCAATATCTGCCCCCTATCCCATCCCTGGCCAGGCCTTCCAGATTGGAGACCCAGATGCCTCTCCAGGAGCCATCCACAGCCACCACCACCCCTTCTCCCCAGGCAGGTGAGCCAGGTCTTGCCAACAAAACCAATTACAGCCTCTCTCACCCAATTAGCAACTAATTATGGCCTTGTAGTCCATTCAACATAATTAACATGTAAATGACTCTGCGTGTTTATATTCAATAACTGCTCTGATTGAATTTAATTTAAATGTCTAAACTGGAGACCCCGTTACCGTATTTCACCACCTACAGCTGCCACTTTCTGGGATATGTCAGCTCCTGCAGGGGAGAGGGACCCAAAGTCAGAGGATAGGGTGGAGAAGGCACCACTGGCTCAGCCCTCATGAGGGTGGGGATAGTTACAGTCCCTGCATCTCTGACATGCCTATCCCAGGGGTTCAGGGAGGTACTGAGGTAGGAGGAGCCCCCAGTGGGACCCTCAAGATGGGAAATCCTCTGGAACAAGGGGCCTCTCCTTAAGGACTACTGTAAACATCCCAGCTGTTCAGTAAACACTGAGCAAGGGTAAGAGCCACCCAGCTGGGCTAAAGCTCTGCTGTCCGCTTTTCTCTCATTTCAGGGGTGGGGGTTGGGACCAGTAGGCCCAGGCCTGCTGTTCCCACGCCCGTTCCGCCCCAGCGCCCACCTGCCCCGCCCAGGAGAGGACAAGGCTGGGGACATGGCTCTTCCTCAAGCCAGGAAAAGCCAGAGGGAAGGAGCAACAGGGTTACTCCCTGGCACACACGCTAGCCCCGAGCCCGGGGTTCCACACCTTGTCTCCCCAGGGATATCCAGTGACTTCTGACTTGTCCCAGCAATGAGGGGCTCTCCAGCCTAGATGCCTCCACTGATTCCTGTCTACCCCTATGGCACTGTGGCACCTGATCATTCTAGGGCTGGGCTGGTGGTTCAGGGGGCCAAGATATCCTACAGGGACCTCATCAGTGTACATGGGTGGTGCTTATGAGAACACATTTGGGCATTCAACAGCCAGACAGAGGTCAGGACTCCAGCTCAGTGTGAAGGGGGTAGAAAGAGGGGTTAGTCCTGAGGGGGAAGGTTGCACTGATCCGTTCTCAGGTGGGGAAAGTGAACCGGCTGTTCAGTGAGTGCCTCCAGTTCCAGAGGCCCTGGGGAGGTGGTGATGGGGGTGTACCCCTCCTCCCACATTCCAGACCCGGCCCGGAAACCCCTTACTCCTTCCTCCACCACCTCCTCCTCCCCCTGACTGCAAAAGACAACAAACTCTCCATGGCTCATTTACTCCGATAAATCACCCAGATGGACAGGCCAGGATGGGACCGACAGGCTGGTGGGTGTCATGACCCTCCCCCTGCCCAGGGCCCAGCCCCCATCTCTGCCACCCTCCTTGGACTCCTATAGTCCCTTCACATCACCCACCCAGAGATGCCCAGGATGTCCCAGACAATCTTAGCCTCCTCCCCAACATTCTGATGGGGAAACTGAGGTACAGAGCAGCTAGATGAATGCTCAGGGTCAGCCTTGGCAGATGCAGTGAGGCCAGGTCAAGAGCCCAGACAGGGCTCAGCTGGTAGCCAGTCAAGCAAAGGCAACAAGTCCTCCACACAGGCCTGCTGCTGGGACAGGAAGGTGCTGACAAAAATGATAGTACAGGCAGTCCCAGGTAAAGGTCCCCTGGAGTGCCACCCACTCAGCCTCGGGTGCTGCAGAGCCCAAAAGTTCCCCCAATTCTAGCCGCCACTGTGCCAATTGCAGTATATGGCCCACTGGAGGTGATTGTACTGCCTGATCAGAAGATACACCAGGCTGTGGACTCTGCCCACAGAGGGAAATGAGGGCATCAGCACTGAACCCCAAGTAGGAAGAAACAGGCTCTTGGCTGGTGCAGAGAGCTCAGAGGAAAGAGCGTGTCCGGGTAGGAAGCCAAGGAAGGGTGGTGATGGGAGGAGGTGGAGGCAAGGGGGGTAAGGGGAGGAAGGAAGGAAAAAGAGTGGGGGGAAGGGGCATCTGGAGCTGAGGCCTCCTGGCCCCAAAGGCCTCCTGGTCCCTGGAGGGGCTTGTTGCTTTGGGTCTGTCCTTGCTCTGCAGAGAGATACAACAGAGAGCCAGTGCTTGCTGGTGGCCCCAGTGAGAATGCCACATGTCAGCCTAGCCAAGCCCCAACCCATCCCCCCACAGGCTGGCCCCTGGATCCAGGCCAACAGCCACTGCCCAGACCCCACTCTTTGCTGGGCCAGGACGGGTGGTCAGGGTCTGGAGCCCAGGAGGCCTCCACCCTCTCCCTGGAGCTATTTGGCAGCCTGGATGGGGGACTGCAGGCCTGCCAAGTTCAGGCACCCACGTGAGCTAGGCTTTGGATTCAGACCATAGCCTTCTGGCATCCAGGCCTCTGGCAAAGGCTGTCTTGCTATTTCTAAGAAAAATGCAGCAGGAATCCTCTCTGCTTCTCCATAATTCCAAGGTCTCCCTTGAGGCAGGGCTCAGATTCCCAGGACAGCACCAGGGCAGGCCAGGAAAACATGCTCTCTGCCTAGCTGCGTAGATGCCTAAGTGAGCAGCCCAGGTCTGGTCACCCCTAGCATAAGCTGCAGGAGCCAGAACAGTACTCACAGAGGACATCTTTGCAGCTGACAATGTGCCCCCAGTAGGCTTGGGAGCTTATTTCGGGGGAGCTACTTCCAAAGTATCCACTCTCCACCAAATGCATCTCTATCACTGGAATGTTTCCGCAATACGTATTTAGTACCTCTGCCATGAGAAAGAGAGCTTAAAAACCACAAGGAGAAAGTTCAAACTCTACATCCTAGCCCCCAAAGCAAGACTCCATCTAGATCTTGCCTTCTTCTCCAGGTGCTGCCCCGCAAGCGCCTGCCTCTGCTCCTGCCCGTCCCTTTCCCACAATCTCCCTTCCCCTGTTTGAGACACAGCCTCCTCCATGAAGCCCACCCAGATGCCCATGGTAGGCATTCTCCTCCTTCTGACCCCCCTCCCACCACCCCACAGGGCTCAGGGCGCAGTCCTTTCCGAACACCATCTCCCTTACCAAAGGTTAGAATTCTCAGGGAGGTGTGAAGCAGTGTGGGACTCCTTGGGGCATCCCCCTGGATCAGCCCTCACCTGTTCACCACCATCAGCATAGCCCCCGGGTACTGAGACTTCCTTCACTGGGACAGCAACAGTATTCACACAGTTAATCCTCCCAGCAACACAATGAGGCCAGTACTATTCTTATTCCCATTTTCCAGACAGGGCAGTGGGAACACAGAGAGAAGTTCACTGCTCAAGGTCTACCCACAGCCAGACGCAGTCTAAGCTCTCAGGATGCTGCTTCCATGGGGCCACTGCCATGACCACACAAGAGAAAACCAGGGCTCAGAGAGGCTAAGCCACTTGTCTGAGGTCACACAGCTGACAAGGGTAGAACTAGTCTGTCTGCCTGCAGGGCTGGCCAACTCAACTACCACCATCACCTCTGCATTATACCAAATTGAAGTACCCCACTCTCTGCCCTGAGTGAGGACTTGGAGGTCTCCCAGGAGTTAGGAGCCTGGTACCCATGGCCTGAAAGCCACCTTCTGAGCTGTCACTACCTCTGGAGGGTCAACAGGTCAGCGGTGCACACTCATATGTCTGCAACAGCCAAGAGCCTGCTTTGAAGCTCGATGTATCCTAAACTACAGGGTGAAAGATGCCTTCATGGGCTAGGGTGAGATTTTTATCTTGGCGGTTTCTCTTTAAATTCTTTATGATTACGAAGCAGTGGGGGCTGCCAAGGAACATGATTTACTCCCTGAGCATACACCAGCTCTTCACTTAGTGCCAAGGGAAGCTGGGGCCAGGGAGGGAGGGGTGGGCATCATGCCAGGGAATCAGAGACAAGGCCTGTGCTGCAAAGGCCCAGCCAGTGGCGGTCCCATCCAAAGCTTGGCTGGATCCGGAAGGGCCACAGCTGAAGGCCCCAGCCCCTAGCCTAGCTGACTCAGGAAGGTTCTCAGGCAAGCACAGGACCCTGTCTCCACTCTCTCAAGGGCCAATTCCTAGCAAGTTGGGGGAAGGGCAGCCTCCAGAACCTCCCAACTCCTGAAGTGGCCACTTCCAAGTTCCCTCTCAGGAGTAAGGCAGCTTCCATTTCCAGGAAAACCGATATCCTAGATGCAGGGATCTGGGCTCAAGTTCATGCTTTGGGTCTTCCTTCCTCCCTCATCCTGACTCATCCTGGCATATCCACCCCTCCCCGGCTTGCTGGCTCCAAACCCCACTATAGCTTTCAAAGCCACCTGAACCCTGCCCAGCTCCCCGGTGCCCTTCTGGATCAAAGCTCCTGGGTCTCGTCCCTCCTCCTCCCCCCACTCCTCTTCAGTCTGAATCCTCTACAGTTTGGCTGGCCATCAAGCCCCTGGGACAAGAGCAGGTCCTCTAGCTCCCCAGCCCTACCTCCACCCTGCAGCCAGGCCTGGGGGCCAGTGTTACATCAAGGCTTGCTAAAGGCGTTTCTACGTCAAACCATGCTCAACACCCCCTATGAGTGAAGCAAGTGGGCTGGGACCGCTCCAAGCCTCTCATCTCGTCATTTCCAAATCTCGTCATTTCCAAACAAGGAGTCCTGGCACCTTTGGTCTTCTCATGCCACATGCAAATGATGTGAGTGGTGGCACTGTTCTGGGCCATCAGCCGCAGAGACTCAGAGGCCAGACTGAGGTAGATGGGTGGGCAGTGGCCAGCACCCTCCATTCACCCTCCACCTGCAGAACATCCTCCCTCACTGAGCAAGTAAATTATGCCTGGAGTCAGAGAGGGCCCAAATTCCATGTCCACAGGAGCCCTTTTCCTCTCTTGGGCCCCAGTTTTCCCATCTCTGATGTGAGAGGGCTTCCTAGGGGCCCTGCTCAGCTGAACAGCTGGGGTGATGTAGGGCTGGATTTGCAGCCTGGAAATAAGCAAACTCAAATTCTGCCACTTCAGCAGGCAGAGGGCACATGGGGCCTACCCAGTGCTACCCCAGCCCTTTCCTTGGGCAACGACGCTGGGAAGGCTGAGGCTGGCTCTGCAGGATCCTGGAACCCTGTCCCTAGCTCATGGAAGAAGCTGTGCCTATAGCACCACCATCCCCCGCCCTCCACTCTCAGTCCTGGGATGGGTTCAGGCATCAGGCAGAGCCAGGCTCAATCTCAGTCCTGCTCTTGAGAGGCTTGGGAAGCCACTGAGCCCCTCTGAGCCACCTCCTTCACAGGAAACCTAGGCAGACCGTCCTCAGACTTTGGGGGGACTTCTGCTTGGTTTTCATCATGGGCACCTACTATTATTTCTGTTATTTTCTTCCTTCCTGACATCCTCTGGAAAGGTGATCTTCTGCTCCCTCTCTACTCCTGCCTCACTTTCCCTGGTAGCCCAGCTGCCTCATGTCTGCAAGACTCCTTTCCCCCACCCGAGCACCTCTTGGCTCCAGCTCCTAGCCAAAGCCAGCCCAAGTAGCAGTGGTGCATTCAGGGTGGCTTCCTGGGAAGAAGTAAACACTCTCCCAGTGGAACAAAGGACTTGGCATGGCCCTCCAACCTCGCTGCTGCTGCCCAGGAGGGAGGTGGTGCCCCAGAACCTAGGTCATCTCAGGGTGGGGGGAAGA